TTTAGTTTTGCCCTAAAATGTGGGTTCTACAAACAAATCCCAAACCTAAAACTATGGAGAGGAAGATCAAAGGCACAGATCTGGAAAAGACACAAAAAACAGAAAACAAAAGTGGAGTTTTAGAATCAAGAACAAAGATGGACTATCAAGAACATGAAGAATACAAAGGGTTGAAGGCCCAGAACAGTGGCAAGACGTGCAAGAAAACTATGAATAGTACATGTATTTAAGGCGTAAGCGAAAAGCAAAATCAACGCATTCAAATGTATGATTCACAAATTAAGTGTTTGAACAAGGCAGTGATAAACAAGAAATTCCAGAAAAACTCAAGAAACTGGAATAAGAAGAAACAAATTGCTTACCAGAAAATATGAAGCTGATGTGAATATTGCCGAAGTCAGACGACAGTGACAGATGTAACAAGAACGACGAAAGCTTCACAGGAAGGGAGAACGGAAGGCAGTTGCAGAGCTTGAGGACTGAAACAATGGCGTATTCAGGAGCTAGAGAGAGAAAAAACAAAGAGAAATCGAATGCAAAGTGAAAAATGAAGAAAGGGGAAAAAGTTTTTGTCAAATTTGAAACGACGGCAAAACGGAGCATTGAATGCGCCTGGAACAACGCATACGTCAAACGGCGCACACAGACGTAAGGCGGTTTGCAAGCGCGTCATAGGCACGGTCCAATGAGGTGAAGACGCGTAAATGAAACGGTTGAGTAAATGATGCGTGACAGCTCATACACGTGAAAGAGTTCACTGGAATTCTAGTTCTCTGAAGAAAACATGTCGGCCTAAAATGAATGATCTCGGCTGAGGAGTTCTTGAGCCGATGTACAGAAGGAAATACCGATATAGGTTTCATCACCTCAAAATGCCGAGGTAATAGAACCTAGGGGACAGTTGTGGGGATATATTTTTTGGTACCAACACATGGCAAGGTGACGCCGATGTGTCAGCCGAGGTGCCACGTGTCCTGGTCATTATGCCGAGGTTATCTCCGAAGATATCGGAATCCGAGATAAACGGATAAGGGACAAGAGTCCTAGAATGAAGAGGAAACTTAGTCAAGATGAGGATGAAACTCTTAGGGAGTTTATCTTTATCTCTTGAGAAGTCCAAAGTAAGTACTGAATTGGAGTCCATAGAAGTCAGGCTTCTAATGGGATTTGGATTGAGGTAACTATAAAAGAGAGGCACCCCCGTGGGTCTAAGGTACGCAATTTATGCTTTGAGCAGTGAGTTTAGCATTTGGTTTATCTTTGAGAGATATACTGACTTGATCGTCGGAGTGCCCCCGGGTGGACGAACCACCGCCGGAATCTTCTCTTTCTGTTGCAGGTTAGCCAAGTGCCATCTATTCTGCCGGTGCTCTCCAACTAGTTATTAAGCGGGCAGTGTGGTCAGAAAATCACTCACACAGAAAATATATTTATTATTACATTTGGTTCACTAAAAGAATTGATGAAAATTGAATTAGAAATGAAATTGTTATATACAATTGCAAATAAATAGTCGTTTTATAAAAATGAAAATAATATTTCAAATAGAATGGTTGTATTTTTTTCATTTCACTTTCATTTTAATGAATTAAAATTTACTTAAAATTATCCTTGTTTAGTCTTTTACTTTACTAAAAATCTAAAAATCCAAAGACATTAGTTTGAAAAACAAAAATTCAAAATCAATTACATTAGATTACTTAAAAAAAAAAAAACAACTTTTAAATCACTTGACTAATACAAGAATAGAGATATAGAAATGTCCAATTAGCATACCATTTACCAGGTTTGTTTCTAGTTTTTTGAAAATATTTTTCAAACAATTTTACTTTTTTGTTTTTTTTTTTTGTTTTTATTGAATTTTTTTAATATTTTGAGTAATTTTTAGACACACCTAACATAAATACACTTAAAAAGTATAATTTTTATGAAAAAAAATCTTTAAAAAACTCACTAAATTCCAAAAATACCACACACAAAAAAAAAACAACAAAAATTCAACATATTTTTTATATTTTTGTGTATTTATTAATTTTTTAAAATATTTTTTTACAAATATTTTATTTTTTAAATATATCTAAGTAAAGTGCATCTAAAAAAATAAAAAAAAATACTTAAAATTTTAAAAATATTTACTAAAAATTAAAAAAAAAGCACGAAAAACAAAAAAGTTAAATCAAACACATTTTCTCCTTTCAATTACAGAATTCTTATCATCATCATAGGAATGATAGTAATTTTTCTATGGTTATCTTTAATTATTTTTTTCAAAAAGAGATAAAAACAAAACTTAAATAAAAAATTATAAGATGTATAAACATGGATATTTAGAAAAATATGTTGTATTCGTACCCGAATACTTATTGGTATATGATACTTCGTATGATACTTTTACATACGTACCAAGTACATAAAATACGTATTTAAATATTTCCTTCTTAATTTTTTTATACTTAATATATATTCAAAAGAAATACGTATCTAAATATTTTTTTCTTAATTTTTAGTATATCTAGATATACTTAATATATGCCCAAAATGTATTAAACAATATTTCTTTTCTAACACATAGATAAAATTCCTTTTACTAGACTTCTTTTTTACTTTTAGTTTTATATTTAACATAAATTCAAAATTAAGTTATTTAATATATTGATATTTAATTTTGATTTATACATTTACTTTTTGCATTAAAATGTTAATTGTTATAGGTTTGATCTCAACAAATTAAACCATTTAATCAATTTTTACATTATTCTAAACTAAAAATAATTATTTTTTTTATAAACGTATCGAGCCATACCTATACTTTATATTTTTTTTTAAATTTTACCATATCAACTTACTCACACCGTATTAATACTAGTACTCATACATATAGCCGTGCTTCATAGGATATGTAAATTCAATTGAAATCATCATTTAATACCTCAAACATTAGGTTAGCTGATTAATGAAAATCCCTTCTTTCTAGTTTGACACCCCTCAAATTAAAATCATTTTCAACCTCTTATCACTACAAACACCACCATTACCATACCATCACTATCACCACTACTACTATACCACAAAAATCACCACCATCCCTATATCACCACTACATCAATCCCTCCACTCTCACCATAACCACTTTCCTCAGCTACCAACATTGACTTATTTTGAGAAATAGGTTAAAAGTTAATTTTTTGACATTTTTTCTAAAAAAAAAAAGTATATAAAAAATAGAGATGTGATATGACGAAAAATAAGTTAAAAGTAAAAAAAAAATAACTTTTAACCAAATTCTCAAAATAGGCATGCCATAGCTACCCTTGCCACGCCATCGTAATATAAAAATTAAAAAATAAAATTTAAATATATATCAAACAACTTGTTTTATATAACATTTAATTATTTTATCAAATACTTTTGAATTTTAAAAAATTAAAAAATTACATTTCAATACTCAACTTTTAATTTTCAATTTTATTAAATTTTCTAGCAACATTCAATAATTTGTCTAAAAAAACGAGCACGATAAAAAATGAGTGTTGCTACTATCACCTGCCTAAATTCTTTGGATCTCCTAATTTTTAATTTTTCTTTTATTACAATTATACCCTTAAGTAAAATTACATTAAAAGATATCATTTAATGAAACACTCACCTACTAAATAAGAACTAAAACTATACAATATTGTACACCTACCCCCACCCCTATTCCCATCTCCACCTCCAGCAATATGTATTCCACCTTTTTAACTAAAAACTTGTCACTCTTTATAACCAATCAACATAAACCATAAACTTGTTACTCTTCATAACCATCTTAAATCTTGAATGTATCATTTTCATCACCATCATAAACCCTCATGAGCCATAAAGTTTTTTCAAGTCCAACATGTTACTTTTCATCAATTATTTCACCTTGTAGAGCAATAGAGGACGATAACAACAATTCTAATGAGGTTGGCGTTCCATTGGTAAGTTTATCTGTCTTACATTAACATTCTCGGTTGTTTTCAATCATTATTGTTTTATTCGAGTTGTTCGATACTGGTTTGTTGATTGTTAAGATTATATGCAGTAACACAATACTAAAGACAAACATCTAGTTCAATATATGGGTTCTGAATGGTAATGCAGATAGTCGATATTATTGAATTGAACATCACATTTATTTTCGGTGTTGGTGTGCCGAATAGTTCGATTTTTGTATGTTCAACACCAATTTGTGTTTTTCATAAGGTTTTTTTTTTTCTTCTCTAAAACAGCTTCTTACGTCGAAATAAACAGAAAACAAAAATGTGATATAAAGAATAAAGGCAATGCTGTTGATAAAATGGGAAGTCAGTATTTACTTGAGAGAAATTTCTGATGAGTTTTCGACGATGGTGGACAAAAATTTTCGATGAGTTTTCTAATGATATTTTTTAGACACCATCGAGTCGATTCTACCTTTCATTGAGAATTTACAGGAATTTCTATGATGGGCCGTCAATGCAATGCTCTTCACTGAGACAATGGTCTTTACTGATGTAATGATCGTTGACGTTCTTTTCAACAAGAGATGGGCGGTCATCAAAAGGAGAAAGAGAGAGGGTGTGCAAAATTAAATGGGCGTGTCTTGGGTGTGATAATATTATAAATATGGATATATTTGATATTAAGTAGGGTGTTCAAAAAAATTTTATTAAAATTTAGAATTTAGAATTGGGACTCAAAGAAATAGGGGTCCAAAAAATTTAGAGAGGTACTAATAGCAGTCTTATAAAAAAAATAAAAAAAATAAAAAATACCATGTGTGTCACGTGCCCCTACTATAAATAGATTTCTACCATTGTATTTATCTCAATGGGCCACCACACAAGTACAAAAGCAAATCGGACAGCCAGAAATATCCAATACTAAGCCAAATAGCTTACCAACGGCTACGATTAAAGAGGCCCATTCTAGTACACAACAAAACAACACACCTCATTCCACCCTTATCTGATATATATATATACATATAAAATATTTCATTTTTCTCTCTCTTCGAAGAACTCTGTTAAAAAATTACCGAAAAATGTTCATTGGTTTTGTGTTTGCTCATCTGGGTCTCATCCAAAAACCCCAAAAAATGGGTATCTATTGACCCTGTGTAGACGTTGATACGTAGAGAGAATTAGGGTTTCAGGGCCGGTATTGTTACCCAGAAGAGCTTTGTATCTCTGTTTGTGGGTTTTGATACAGTTTTTGAATCTATGGAGGCTTATAAGAGATGGGTTAGGACGAACAAAGACTATGTCCATTCATTGGAGTCTCTTGCTAATGTAAGCTCTCTTGGTTTCTTGGGTCTTGATTAGTTTCTTTTGTAAATCTATAAAGCAAGAATCTTTCTGTTGACTTTATATGCAGTTTCTTTGTTTATGTGATTGTTTTGAATTGTTTTTGAGTTCTTGGGATTTGATTTTGCTTGATTTCATAGCATTTGTGGTAGCTCATGAGTAGGGACTATGTGAGAGAAGAACTGAGTTGGGCTGTGTTTATAAATTTGAATTCACTATATCCTAATCTGAATTTGCATCTCCGTTGGGATTATTACTCATCCCTACACATATCAAAGAGAAAAATCACAAAGAAAATACGTGGTTTGACACAAATCTGCTTACATCTGGCAGAGAGAAAAATTCACTATAAATTGTATAGAATACATTTATGAGACCACAAATACAGAAAAATCCAATACTAATACATACCTGATGTTTCCCTACTCGGGTAATTGAGTCACCGGTTTTTTTTTTTTGGGTCTTCCCTACATCTTTACAAACCCTCTCAATTTCACAATCCCAGAATTCCAATTTCCCACAAGTTCCACAAGTTACTAACTCAAAAATCTTGGTCCCATACAATCATTAAAGTCGCACATATAATGGATTCCAAGTGAATTTCAGACCCCACAACCTAATCCAAATATATGTAAAAACTAATAATTTTGTAGGTCCTGCATAATTCAAGACACCCCGAACACAATCTGGTGTGTGAAGAACAGAGTTTATGCGTGGTTGTTGGGATGCTTGGTCAATTTACTCTATTTAACTAGTAGTATGTGGATTGTCTTATTATAAATGTATGTCAATATATGTTTCTCTTCGCAACTATTGCCTTTTTTTTTTTTTTCCCTCCTTCTTTATGTAATATAAGTCAGCTTAGAAATGAAGACAAAAGACCAAAAAAAAAAAAAAAAAGAAAAGAAAAGAAAATGATCTGGATGTGGATTTTCCACTAATGTGATCTCACATTTGGTATTGAATATTGTTGTTTAGGGTTTGTTGTATTGAGTTTGTTGGTTATTTATCTTTGTATAGTTGTTTATATAGGTCTTCTTATGCTTGCCATAGTATCAATTGCAGGCTAAATTTCAACACTCGGTGAAAATATGAAAGAAGGATTAAGTATGAACTATTTATGTTTGTGGTTTCTTGTTTATTGGGTTATTACTGTGTTTGTTTTGAGGGTTTTCTTGATGATTGTCTATATTATTTATGGTGGCTCTATATTGAGATACTGAAAATGAATTGATAGTAGACTTTTCTGTCTCTTAATTAAAAATGTTTCTAATATGGCTGTTAAAAATTATTTTACAGGGGCTGACATGGCTTCTTCCGGAACGGTTTTCTGAATCAGAAATAGGACCAGAAGCAGGTTTTGTGAAACTTTGGTAACATTGAGCTTCTTCTTGTTACCTTATAAACTGCACATGTAGAGGGTTTTGTTTCTCTTTTTTTAATAAAATCTTTGTTTGATCACCAAAAAGATTAAAGAAAAAATAGAATAAAATATTTTTGATCTCATGTTTGTTTATTGCTATTACAGTGGCATTGCATAGTGCAATGCCAAAGTCTTGGGCTTCCACATTCGAGAAGGGGGTTTGAATTTGTGGACATCCCCCTTATGGCCAAATGTTAGGTTTCTACACAGTCCATCCCACCTAGCAACCTTGACTAATGGGCACCAAAAATCAATAATGGCTTCTTTTGGGGCTTTTGTGATTGGTATTATAGTTTATCTGTTCAGCTGATTTTCCTCCCATTTTTTTGGGTCTTGACTAATAAGAAGTGTTTATTCAAAATTTTACATTTCCTTGACTACATTTTCTTGTCAAACCAACCCTTCTCTAATTGTTTTTCCTATTCTGGATTTTTGTGTATTGGTTTTCTCAGGGCAATTTAGGATTGATATTTTCATTGTTTGTACAAAAATTCTTCTGCAGTAACTGCTGTTTTGGGCATGTTCACTGCTGTCAACGAACATATAATCCATACAACTCCAACCCAGATACATACTGCAGAGCCATCTTCCTTCCCCTACTCCTTGTGCATAACTTTGCTAAAAGATTTGGAAACATTGGTTGAAGTTGCGGCACAGCATTTCCTTGGTGATGATAAAAAATGGAATTTTATTGCTGCTACAGAGGCTACCAAGTAAGTGGCATATTAAATTTAGTATATTTCACTCTTTATCATCACAATTTGGTGTTTTGTATGGTGGTATATGTTAATTTGGCTAAGCTTCTGTACATCAATTAATTTCAGGGTGTGTGTTAGGCTAGCTTTGTTCCGGAACAGTGGATTCAAGATGCTTCTGCATGGAGGGGAGATACCAAATGTTGAAAAGGATTCAGAGGCTTCAAATCCTCAAAACAGATTTGGACATTTGGCAAAGCTTGGACGGTCTCATGGGCCTGGTAATGGAAAGAATTATCATGAGAACAATCCATGGAATCTTGAAGGAAGGGCATTGTCTGCCTTAAACAGGTTTGGAGAAAATGCTAGGATGGTTTCAGACCCAACATGGTTGCACAGGGTTCGACACCAGCATGCAATCATGGAGCCTCCACGTAATTGTTCTTTCAAGACTAGTTGCTTGTTTAAGTTAATAATCATGTTTATGTGATAAAGAGGCTGTTTGGTGCAGCTTATATGAGCTGCATATCAGAGTTTGTGCCTGACTGTTTGACAGAACTTTTGCTTACAACTTATTAGGTAGAAATAACTTGAATAGATGAAATTTTTTGATTATCTGGAAGTTAAAGAAATGGTGTTTTTGGCTTTTGCTTTTTGATTATCATCTTTTAGCTTACAATAAGCTGCACCAAACATGCCCAAATTTGCTAAATGTTGCTTTGTTGCCACTACAGCTTCGGTGGTTGAGAGACCCACCCTTTCTGCTTTCTTGTCCGAGAAAGGTCTTCGTGGGGCCTTATTTATGATGGGGGAGGTGATGTTCATAACAAGACCACTTATATATGTTTTACTGATAAGGAAGTATGGAGTTCGGTCATGGTTTCCTTGGTGTATTTCACTGGCTGTGGACCTCGCTGGAATGGGCATTCTTTCAAATGTTACAACGTCATCACAAAGTAGTAAAGGCCAACAGTTTCATCTCTCTGACCTGGAAAGGGATGAGGTTAGATTTCTTTAAAATTATTGCATTTTAATTATTTTGATGTATGTTTCACCCTGAAATTGATGCCACTTCTGGCTCTAGGGACAGTTCTTAGTAACAAAGTCCTATTTTTCTTGAAGTTAAAACATGCCAAGAATTTGCTAATTTTCTGTGGCATGCAGCTAGAGCTAAAATCTGTCAGAAACAAAATATGCAAACATTCTCCATCAATGTGCTTTGGACACTTTCAGAGGAGCAATATTGCAATTTGATGTTGCGATGCCTCTAGCATGAGAGAAAGAGAGAGAGAGAGAGAGAGAGGGCTGTTCACAGTGTTCCATATTTTCACATAATGCTGGATTTGACCCTCCACAGTATTTTGACTAAGAGAAGATGTGAAATTTACAAAATTTTAGGATTTGTAAAATTCTGTCATTAAATTCCCACCATAAGAATGCAACCTTGGTGGAATTTTAGTGCATTATCTTGAAGGGGATTTGTAAAATTCTACCCTTCAATTTATGAGATGTAGATTTCCTTCTTCTTCTTCTTTTTTCCAAAGAACCAAAAAAAAGAAAAAAAGAAAAAAAAAGATGTTCCTGACAGTAGAAAGGATGACTGGAATAAATGATTTGTTTGTGTCTGGTTCATGGATTTGGATTTTCAGCGTGAGTTTGGCTATCTGTTGATTTTGGCAACAAGTTTAGTTATATAGTTGATTACTTGATTGTTTGATTTGATGATATATTGGATTACTCGAATGGTTTCGATACAGTTAAGAAGACGGAAGCTATTGTGGGCATTTTACCTCATGAGAGACCCGTTTTTCAACAAGTATACACGGTAATGATGCATTTCTCAAGGAACTCATTTGATCAGTTTCTTCATTTTGGGAGAGAGAGTAGATATACTGATGCATGTCAAATATTTCAGGCAAAAACTTGAAAGCACGGAGAGACTATTAGAACCTATTCCTATTGTCGGGATTCTTACTGGTTTGTTTAATATTTCCTTCTCAATTTAAATTGTGTACCACTTTGTCACGTTTATTTCAAGTATACTTTTTATTTATTTAATTAACATCTCCTCCAAATATGCAGCAAAAATTATGGAACTTATCACTGGAGCTCAAACACGATACACTTACACATCCGGTTCATGATAATGAAGATTTTTGTGATGCATCTTTATTTTGGTGAATTATTTCCCAGTGGTAGGAAAGTTTTCTTGGTATTTGTAATGTGAGCTTAAAATGCAATTGGCAATGGCTGTATCAATTTTTTTTGGTATCTATGTTTCAATTAAAGTGCACTCAAAAGTGTAGTTTTGCAATCACATGTATATTTCCTTCTTAATATAAGACTCCGGAAAGTTTGTTATTGCACATGCATAAAAATGCATATCCATTGTAATTTAGATTCTCTATCTGTCTCTCTTAGTTTCTTGGTTGGTTCTACATATCTAAATGTGTACACTTGCACATTCCACACACACTGTTTAATCATTGGCATCCATATTGCCATGGTGTAAATACAATATTATTGATGCATTTCACATATTAATTTTCATTTCACCATTTTGAAAGTTGGATATATTAAGATGTAACTGGAATTGTTTCTTTAAAGTTGAGTGCTATGGTTTGAAAAAGATATCCATCTGTTGGCTGAAGTTGAATAGGGATTCTTAGAAGTCATGTTTATTGTTAATTTACTGTTCTTTGAGATGAGAACTCTGATAGGTTAGCCTTATGTATCAATTATACATAAAGATGAGGAGATTTAGGAGAACGTGACCATAAAATTAAGGTGAGATGGATAAAATGGATGATTGCTTCAGGAGTTTTGTGTGATCATAGGATTCTTATTAAGTAGAAGGGAAAAAAAAAAATTCCAGGACTCCTGGTGGATTTTAACAGTTAGCCTTATGTATCAATTATACATAAAGATGAGGAGATTTAGGAGAACGTGACCATAAAATTAAGGTGAGATGGATAAAATGGATGATTGCTTCAGGAGTTTTGTGTGATCATAGGATTCTTATTAAGTAGAAGGGAAAAAAAAAAATTCCAGGACTCCTATGAGACCTTCTATGTCGTATGGTACTAAATGTTCAGTGATTAAGATACAACGTGTTCAGTAAATTAGCATATCTAAAATGAGAATGTTAAGATAGATAAACGGTATAAGAAGAAAATATAATATACGAAATATGTCCATCAGGAAGAAGTTAGAAGTGGCACAAATTGAAGGCCAAGTCATGTGACTAATTAACTTGCTTGTAAGGAGTGATTTGATTCACAGGGCAGGTGATAAAAGAAATTGAGCAATGGGTAGGAGAACAGGGGTTAAGGTGATAAGAAAGGACATGAATATGCAAGTTAAATGAGAATATGACTACATTTTGTTTCATTTTGTATATGCAAGAATATGCAAATAGAATCAATTAGAGGAAATGGATCCCTGTAATTCGATCCCGAGTAATTGGGATCAAGGCTTGTTGAGTTGTGTTCCTCCGTTACACGTGTGATATGTATGTTATTGTAACTGCGCTACTTTGGTGGGAGATAAATTTTCTAGCTGGAAGAATGACTTGATAATTTGAAAAAGAGTCAAACCTTGCATTTTAACTCACTGGAGGAACTTCTAGAGTTGGAACTAATCTCTGCCTAGCAGTACAAAAATATATATAAATTCACTAAATTACATTTATATTGACAAATAGGTGGACTTTCGTAGAGGTTAAAAGCTATTTGTAATTTCTTCTAGGTGTATTTCTTTTTGAATGAATGATTTATTGAAATTGTTGTTCAAAATTTTAGTGTCACGATTAGCAGGCTTCTGTAGTGCATCACGTTTCCTTGATCATTTCTTTGCTAGTTCTTCTTTGTGCACAGAATCCATCTACAGAATTTGATACAACTCTCTCTCTCTCTCTCTCTCTCTCTCATTTTTATTTATTTGCTTTTTTGTTTTTTCGCAACCATTGATGTGAACCCACCTCTGCTCCTTCCCTTTTTAAGGTTAGAAAGATCTCTCTTCAGCAATTTACAGACAAATTCTAGTCTTGAGTTTATTGTATTTTTTTAGCGGGCAATGTGGCTCTTGATTGTGTTTCTTGCTTGACACTGTTGGGCAAGATGTTGCTGGGCTGTAAAACGAAGCAAGATACTTGAGCTTGACTCTGTTTGATTCGTTAAAAGTTTGTTTGAGATTGACTCGTTATGTAAATAATACATTTTAATGCTTGTTAAATTTTCAAAACAAAACTCAACTAACTTGCTACTCGGTTTAACTTGGGACGTTTACAGTCTAGGGCGGTGCTTATAGCGGATTCAGTTACGACTGAAAGGATGAATGACCTTGATTAGGGTCAGAACTTTGCGTCACTTTCCCTTTCATCTAACAAATGTTTTTGCTGCTCAAGCATTTGGGTTGGGAGACCAGTTTGGATTTAGAGATTTAAGACTTGTTGAGGTGTAGTTGTATATCTGTTTACTAGCAGAAGTAACATATTCTAGTTTCTTTATTTGCATTCTTACATGGATTAACCTTTTCCTCATTGCTATTCATCACTATTTTTTTTCTTGTTTTTTTCTCCATATGAGAGATGTTTTAAAAAAATGTCCGCTGTGGATCTGAGCTGTTACAGGAAAGGTTATAATGAATCCGTGCGTAGGAGGAGTTGATTTGATTTGATTTGATTTGATTAAGGCACAGTTTGTATTTGATCTGCATTCATCATGCCATATCTAACATCAATAAAAATAGACCTCTTACATCTAACATAAGATTATCTAAATCATAATTCAGTAATTTTGAATATCTAATTTGATAATCTGATAACAAAGCATTTTTCATGAATAAGAGATCTTAAAAGTCCAACTCTCTTAGTCACGAAGATATAGTAACATAATACTTCAAATGTGATATAAAACAGTCATTGTAGCATTATTGTACTTTAACTTGTTTAGAAATTTCAACGTTGTCTCATGATCGATACTCTCCTAACCACATCAAGCTGGTTGGATTAAAAATTATCATAGAGGTCTGAAAGACCATCTCACAACATGCCTAACTAATGACCTTTTTACAATAATTTTAAGAAAATTACAAATTTGTGCGAGATGGAGCAAATTACAACAAATTGGAGAATCTCTATGAGGTGCAACTTGTGTTGTGTTTTTCTACATAGAAAAGACTTTCACCCCATTTATTTGTAATTAGTTTTGATCAAATATGCTGCACTCTCGTTTTATCCTTCTAAAAATTATAAATAATAATAAAAATTTATTTTAATATATAAAGTAAAGACCTTGAGTGCTGTTGATACATTTGTGGTTCATATTTTTTAATTTTTCAAAATATCTCTATAGTTAATGTTTATATAAAAAATAATAAAATAAGACTTAAAATTAAAATCATTGCCAAAATAAATTTTATCACTTGAGCAAGTTTCACACCTATTACTGCGGTCCGTCCGTTAATAATAATAAAAAGTAAATAGAGAGGCAGTCGCAAGTTTCACACCTATTACTGCGGTCCGTCCGTTAATAATAATAAAAAGTAAATAGAGAGGCAGTCCTAAGGCCTTTTCAATGGTGGGCTGTGGCCCTATGCCCACAAAGATGAGGGGGGTCCCCAGACAAGGAACTAAAGATGGAGGTGGTGGGTGGACCACCTCTAAGAAAGTGGGGCTCTCCGGCGGCGGAGTGGGGTGGTGGTCATAGCTTTGAGCCGCCTCTCATCGTGGCCTGCGAGGCTGTGGGCCCCACAATGCAAAGAGTTTGACCAAAGAGATGAACAAAAAAAATGAACAGAAATGATAGAGATCTCACAAAACACAATCTTTATAACTCTCAAAATGATTTAAATCATTTATATCACTATCTAAAATAAAAAAATAAATTTAAATACATTAATAATCAATACATCAGTGAAAGTCGTGAAGATTCTCTGTAAGGTTTTAAACATTTCTTAAAAATAAAACCCACCTCTGATGAAAGGGTGGAGCCCAGCCCAGCCAGCCCAGCCTAAGCCCACCACCATTTTCTGACAGGGGTCCACCACCCAGCTCTGTTGATCTGATCATGATGCCCTGCCGAACACGGCTCTATGTGATTGGGACCCACGTGACTCATGGGCCAGCCTCCCGCTTTTATAGAAGAAGAGAAAGCTATTTGCTCTTAAAAAAAATAAGCTGCTGTTAAATATTTTATGAAGTATAAAATTTATAATAAAAATGTTGATATAATATTTGGATTTCTATAATTACTCTTGATTTTATTGGGTATAATATACTATGATTGATAGAGAACATAAAATTAAATAATTAAAAAATAAGAAGAAATATACGAATTTGTGATTGACTAAGCCCTGATCAATAAATAATTTTTCAAGAAGATGAAGGCATCTCAATTTTGATGTGGTAGTTTGAATTCGTCTCAGCCGTTGGATTTGATGGTCGTGTTGGGCCCCTCACCCAGCTGTCGTTGCCTCCGATCCGAACATCAGGTTGCGTGTGCATCCTTGCGTCATCCATGCGTGTATGATAGCACCAAGGATCTTCTAGAGTAAAATTTTTTTAAAGTTTCCTAGAGTGTTATATTGTGTGGTTGAGATTTACTGGTAAGTCACATCAGAAAAATTGATGTGACTTGCTAGTAAATCTCAACCACACAATGTAGCACTTTAGGAAACTTTAAGAAAAAATCACTCTAGAGGATCCTTGCTCGTATGATAGTGAGTTGTTTACTGTTTTGGTGGAACTTCAATTTATAATTTGAGAAAAAAAATAATTTAAATATATTACAAAAAAATTTAATTATTTGAAAAAATAAAAAAAAATAATCACTTTTAATTTTTATATTATGATTATCAATTTTTAATTTAAAGAAATTACAACAAATTAATTATATTTTACCTCTGGTAATTTAATTCAAAAATATTTAACCCTTTTATGGTTCAAAATCGAACACATAACCTACTTTAGTTTGGATAATGACTAACTCTATTAATTCGATTTAGATTTTCGTGTAATGACTAACTTCATTAATGATTTTTTTTATTAAATTTTTATCTCAATGGCACTTCTTTTCACTTTTTCTTTTTAAAAAAAATTAACAACTCATGTTCTTTTTATTTCTTAATTAATAAACGCATATCTTGAGGACACTGCAGGATTAAAAGTCTATTTTAAAAGATTTGTCAGACTATAGAGATTTAGTCTGATGCATGAAAATTGATCCAAGATACCTTACACAAACCAAAAAAAAAAAAAAAAACCTAGGCTCTGTTTTTAACACTGTGCAAACCCTTCAGTTTCTTTCTCATTTGTATCTCCAACTACTCTTTCGCTATTTTTTTTTTATAAATAAAACCCATTATTAATTTTTCTTCCAACGGTGCTTTCTATCCATTCTTTTTTCA